CTGCCACACAAACCCGCACAAAGCCATGAAATTGAGGGGCTGCGATTAGGTCTTCCATGAAAAACGACCAGCAAATTCCAATCGCGTAAGAATGTTCTCCACATATCAAAATCTAGACAACATTGTTTGTTCAAACGGATCCGATGACGTAGGTGTTTCACAGAGTTGGCCAGTTGTAGGAGGTAACTGATGAATGCCCTACCCACTGGAATAGCAAAATTTAGATGACCAATAATGCTGAGCAGTAGCTGCTTTGTGACTTTCTTGGCACTTTCTCAGTGGGTAGACAAGCTTCCATTCTATCAGTGTCCAAAATATTCCCCAGATACTCCAAACATGTGACCGATCCGACCGTTTTATGGGGGGACAAGGGGATATTCAGTTCCGAGAATAAGCATTGTAGTTTGTTCATGGTACTAATGCCTTGTTCTAAGTCCTTATCCACAGTCAAAAAATCATCCAAAAGATGCAATATATTGTCAATGTCATACACATGATTTGCAATCCAACACATTACTGCAGACAGGCCATCAAACAGTTTTGGAGTGGACCGGCAAGATAATAGATTCTTGCAGACAGTAGTGTGAGTAGGTGGACATGTAATGCCCGTGTCAGTTTATCCATGTCAACAGGAGATGGGGTCGCATGTAGTCACTGTCAGTGCTTTTTGGCAGAAGAAGAGTTCTGGACAGGTGTCGACTTGCCTGCTGGGAATTGAGTCTCTCCTGTGTTATGCCAACATTCGAAAGCAGGGTGCGGCTTCCCACATATAGAGCACAAATGTCTAAATCTACAATTTCCGTGAACACATTTCTCAGCATTAAAGTTGTTGTACAATGGGATACCTTTGTGTATGAGAACTTCCCTTCCCCGGCGATCCATGCCTCTGCATTCTGTGGTGAATTCTCTGTCCCTAGTAGTGGGAGTATGGTTAAGAGTCTCTCCTGTTTGGTGATGTACGGACTTGGCATCTACCATTGAATAAAACTGCGTTGAATGACTAATGTCATCACACAACTGGCAAAGCAGTGATTCTGCATCCTGTAAACATGGCTCTGTAGATGGCATCACCTCATATGGGCGACTATCGACTGTACTTCGAGGGATCGCTGGACCGTATCTTCGCCGAGGCACCCTGAGATGCGGCCATGTTTGTTGTAGCCAAACTGTCCGTATCCTCGTACATACTTGCTGCTTCACTGTGCACAGTATCCTGCATGGATATCCTGCTTGACGTTCGCTTCTTACATGTTTTAGGAGCCATACTGACTTACGCCTGTGAGAAACTGGAACACTTGATTCTTACTATTTGCTCGTACATACGGGAGCAAAATTGCTTGTCATTGTTATGAAACTTGTACAAGTTGGCTGACTTTGAAGCGCTGCTGCGCATGCTCGTACTTTGGCATGCTGGGAAGTTGCCTTATCTAAGTTACATAAAATAGCATCACACATGATACATGTCTGTATTACTGACGTTTGTCTTACTGATTCTTATAGTAATATTAATACATAACCAGGTGGTTAGTGTTACACTTATCTGGTGATTGTATTCTGGCTATTAATGTTGCCTTATGTTTACCTAATAATGAAACCATGGAATATAATTAATGACGTGCCAATAACAAACGCTGTTGGAATTAATCCCAACATAAAAATATACTTGTATGCTACATTTTGAACTTGGAAGATATGAGAAAATAAATACATAGCAGTTTAACTTACCATTATAAACTAACTCAATATACATTAAGCAACAACCTAACAAACAAAACCAAAAACTGTGAGAGTGTGTTTAATTTTATTTTCAACATACCGGTAATCTAACTGCTTTTCAATACACTTCTCACATCGATAGTAAAGCTTTTCATTCCAGTCAGTTTTCTGAAGCCACCCTGAAATACCCATTCACGGCAACTTTGAGGTTATCGTTGTCATCATAGCACTTTCCACGAAGGTGTTCTTTCAGTTTGGGCAACAGGTGGAAATCACTTGGTGCCAGGTCTGGCGAGTATGGAGGGTGAGGGAGCTCTTTGAACCCACACTGTCACACAGCAGCCTTTGCAAGAGGCATTGTCATGAAGTAGTAGAACTCCAGCAGTTAGCATTCCTCAACGTTTTTCATTGATAGAATCTCTCAGGCGATGAACCAAATCAGCATAGTAGGCACTAGTAATCACCTTTTGACTCAACAAGGATCACACCCTTTGCATCCCAGAATACAGTGGCCATAACTTTCTTCACTGACGAAATCCTCCTCATTTAGCTCTAAATTTTCTCTGGTAATGTCAGTTCTTTTTCCCTTAAGATCTGAATTTAGAAACTTTGGCACCCAACAAGCATATATCTTTTTCATCTGTAAATATTCAGGAATAATAGTTTCAATGGATCCATGGCTTAGAACAGTGTCTTCCTCAAGTTCAGCAATGGTAATACATCTATCTGACAGTTTAAGTTTTTCTATCTCCTTGATTGAATCTTCATTGATCAAGACTTGTTCTCCCAGCCTTAACCATAGCTACCCAACATTTAACAGTGGAATAGGTGGGGCACTTTTCACTAAACACTTGTGACATGTGGTCATTAATTTCTTGGGGAGTACTTTTTTTTAAAGTAAAAAACTTCATGACTGCTCGGTACTCATTTTTTCCATTTCTGTGTCCATTTGGACTCCTATCATGTTCAACTGGTTGTCACTAATATACAAACAGCCTCAACAGACCAAATACCAAATACACTTGAAATGAACTACTCCAACATTGTACTACATTGACTATTTCACATTGTCATGGCCCATAGTTGAAAGTTAGTTAGGCTTAGAACTTTTTGACCAGCCCACCTATATAGGGTTCAGTCAGGGTTTTTTGAGATTATGTTTACAGTGAAAGGAAATGCATTTTGAGAGAATTTCGGAGCATGGTCAACATACAAAGGTCAAACAAGCATGAAATACTCACATCCCCCGCCAGTATGACATGTCGGGTGTGTGCAATGCATTAGCTCCTGTGAACTAAGGGAATTTGTTTTTATAAATGGACTAATTGCAGCACTAAAAAAAAGTTATTACTGGTGTTGTTTTTCCATCTGCAGTTTATGATAGAATATGTTACTGAATTTGTAATGAGTAATTACAATTAGGAATTGATGGTTTCGGTGTAGGTTCTAACACCATTATCAAGCAAGTGAAGTACAGAGTATGGTTGACAAGAATATATATTGTTTATACAGTTGAGTAGGTTTAAGATCAGTTACACTGTTGTATTTTGTAATGAGTTGTGTTTCTGTATAAAGTTAGTCAGTGAATGCAACAACTGTGTCCATGACACTTTTGGAGGAACATACACTCAAGCAATGCAGAACTTACCGACAAGAAAGGAAATGTATTCAATGCTGTGAGATGACATTATGTGCCAAGTTTTGTAAAGAAATATAGTACGGTTTTCAAGATCTGCTCCGGAAACGAGGACTACCGCCATTTTCAGTCTAAGTCAAAGTCGTTGCAATGGAAACTCGAAAAATAACTTTTTAAAAAAATCCCAAAGTATCAAAAGACACCAGTTCACCACTGAACCTATCAATGTGCAAAATATGGTGAAGAAAAATGGTACGGTTTTCAAGATCTGCTCCGGAAACGAAATGTGATGGACAGACGGAAGGACGGCCGGACAGCCGGACGGCACCCATTCCTATATCCCCCTTCCACTTCGTGGTGGGGGATAATAAGGTGAAATTTCTAAATATAGCAAAAAATGGAACATATGCGTTGAGCCAGACTACTATCTACATTTGTATCAAACTGCATCAAATTTTCAACACAAATGACTAAGAAATGGGGGCATAACTAGCAGTGGGAGCCATGTTAAAAAAATTGAATTTGAACCTGTTAAAACAATTTAGGTGTCATCATTGCATGAAATAAGCATGTGAAAAGTAAGCTTCATTTCAGCGATATCTGAGAAGATGTTTATGACAAATAACTCTGTATTTTCTAATATGGCCACTGGCAGAAATATTTGATTTCCAATCAAGATGCTCTGAACAAACACTACTACATAAGGTAACAATCTCATGAAGTTTCAGGCCTTTTCAGTTTTTGAATACAAAGATATAGAAATTTCAATTTTGAAGCCTTGAAGAAACTTGAACTTCTTATAGTACAAACCATCCACATAAAATTTCAGCTGACTCCATCAAGTCAACTGTTTGATTGGCATTCCAGAAGTTGGCAAATAATTAAGAAAAACGTACAACTTTATGGAAAACAACTTCTTGTTGATAAATGTGTAAGAAACTACATCGAAATGTGGCTACATGAAATAAACCAGATTTAGCTATCCTTAAAGTTGTACATTTGACATTGATGACAACAATCAACGACTTGCGATAACATAAGCTCCCATGGACTTTCAAGCCAGTTGAACTACTATTGTATTATATATGCTATTCCAAAAACCACATACTTGCTGCACATCAAGTTTCATAATGATACATGCAAAAATTGGCACAAAACTGCCATGTTGATGTCGTATTGTTATAGACATCATATCTTTGATCTTTTAAGCAAAGTTCAGCTTCACAGGCCCTGTAGTTTCCGAGTAGATGTAGAAAATGCAGTGACACCAGAGAAAGTGGGATTGTGAAAGCCTAAGGATGTACCTGGATTAAAAATCAAAATGTCCCAAAAAAAGTATCACACATTATACCAAATGCCAAAAACCTTTTAATAATAAATTTCATAATGAAACACGCAGTGGCTGAGTAATGGCGAAATATGACATTCTCACTTAATTTTCAGTCAGGCGAGCTAAAAGCTTTTGGGATGGTGCTTGGCAATTTGTAGCAGTATGGCTTTTAACAACAATTGAGCTGAAAATACTGAGGAATTTCACCTACATCAATGAACCTGTAGTGAATATTAATTGGCCATTACATCTAAGTCTGTGGAAATAACTAAGACATCCACCTCGACTTTCCGGTAAAGTTAGGACTATTGGCATTACCTGACACTTCTTCATGACGGTGAGGTCATCAGCATCCCACTCATCTTCATCATACGTTGTCAACTGCAGGACACGGATTATCTCATGAATCTCATCTGACATCTTCTTCACTATATAGTCACGCCCACTCTGTGCATCAGGAATGCCTTGACCTAACAAAATATAAAACATTCAATCAACACTGCAAAGAAAATAGTATAATCAGTGTACAAGTAAAGTTGTCACTGTAACACAAAAAACAATTTAATAGTCTTGGTTGTAAGGCAACGTCTGCATCTTTGTAAAGACCACCGCACGTTTCGTCTTTATTTCCTTAAATATTCAATGTCTCGAACACATGACCCCGACAGTGAAATGCTACAATATTTAAAAACAATGCGATCCAACATAGCATGCATTTACTTCACTTTACATGCACACTGCTTTACTGCACATCTCAGGTAATGGTCATGGCAGCAATATGAGTTTGTGTGCTGTTTTGCAGTTTACAAATGTGGTCAATGAAAACATGATATTTACGATAAAACATCACAATACATGATCATTTACAAATTCAATGGTATTTGTGTACTGTATGCCGAACAATGTTTAATACACAGAGATTAAGATTACATGTGTATTTGTCTCATAAACTTTGCTGGAATTAGCAATCAGCTGTTCACACATTTTCTCCCCTATCCGTGGGTGATTTAGTTTAAAACCCAAAGAAATTTCGATACAGTAATAGGAAGACTGAAGACTTTGTATCTCTAACGACTAGTGTTCGTTTCAAGGCATGGTGAGTTGATGTGATTTGTCAATCAGTTCATACCTGATCTTGCCGAAATCAATGTACACAAAATTTGATGAAATCTCTGGATACATGTGATATATAATTCCAGATACACAATGAACACTTTTCTAGCCAGATAATGTTATAACAGGACGAACTTGTGTACTTCAGTACAGATTTGTTGACATGCTTCTTGTGATGTTCTGTGCTCACAATAATATCTTCTCATTGTGAAATAAAATGAAAGCTCATTTTAGGCATGTATTATGCACACACTGGTAGTCCAACAGTAGTCAAATACTGTATTCCATTATTTTACTCATCAAGGAATACATTTATGTAGGGAGGCCCTTTACCAGGTTGATTGTACACAACTGTTTATTTGGTTACATACTAGTTTGAACAACCAAAAAAACACACACAAATAAACACCACCCACCAGCACTATATTTTCAAAAGCCATTGCCTGAGAACCAATTCTTTTATTCTTTTAAACCTAACACAAGCGTATAGTCGACAAAGTCATCTATATCTCCCGCCAATTTTAACATGTTACGGTCCCAAACCAGGTAACTGATCCAACATTTCTCTTAGCCCATGTCAAAATAGCTGCAATGGAAATTCTAAAATAAACATTTCTAAAACTCCTTAATATCAAATAGCACCAGTTGTGTTCAGTATGTGCTTTATATATAAACATGCAATGTTTGGCAATGAAATATTTCTGGAAATAATGCCCAGTAATACAAATTTCTAAAATTCATAAATAGCAAAAGGCAACAAGTAAGCATGTGTCTGATAGATGTGGAAAATTTCATCCGGAATCGAACACCACCCTTATAGAACCTAAGTCCAACTTGTTGCCATGGAAAGGTAAAACATAAAAATTTCTAAAAGTGCTAACTATCTTAAGGCACCAGTTCAGTATGTGCCTGGTAGAAATGCAATGTTTTGTAAGAAAGTATTCAACGTTTTTTGAGTTGTGCTCCGGAAACGAACACCACCCTTATAGAACCTAAGTCCAACTTGTTGCCATGGAAACGTAAAAAATAAAAATTTCTAAAATTCCTAAATAGCAAAAGGCACCAGTTCAGTATGTGTCTGGTAAACATGCAAAGTTTTGTAAGAAAGTATTCAACGTTTTTTGAGTTGTGCTCCGGAAACGAACACCACCCTTATAAAACCTAAGTCCAACTTGTTGCCATGGAAACATAAAAAATATAAATTTCCAAAATTCCTAAATAGCAAATGGCACCAGGTCTGTATGAGTCTGATAGACATGCAAAGTTTTGTAGAGAAATATTTATTGGTTTCTGAGTTATGCTCCGGAAACTCTTTTGGGATGCACACACGCACAGACGGACGGATGGAACCCATTTCTATATCCCCTGCCAACATCGTTGGGGCGGGGGATAATAAACCTTACTTGCCTGGCAACTAATTTCACTTGTTAACAAACTGCAATGTGTCATGGTTCCCCTGTCCGATATACATGTCAAACATGTCATGTGGAAACAACTTATTTCACAAATCACTTGTTGCTCTAAAAAAAATACTTAGCAAGCAGCTTAAAATGTCAACCAAAAACAAAACTTAGCATAGCTTGCTGCTGGCAAGTAAAATAACATAGTAGAAGAAAATAAATTTCAACATTTCTCTATCTGTTACAATAAATATACCATGCAAACTAGAAAAAAAAAAAAAATCATTACATAATTTAATTTGTTCTTTAATTGATGCACAAAACATTAATGTTTAATAACAAAAGAAGTTAAAAAGTGTGACTGTTTGTTAGCCTGCCTTGCGCTCGGTATTAAGGGGACAAAACAAGCATTGGTCGACTAGGAAACAGTATTTTTAATCTGAGTGTGGTATCCATGTTCAACAGTGTCATGGTATTTCTAACCATAACGCAGGTCTCAGAGTCCATGGATGACGCCCCATGTTGTCACTGTCAGACACCCTCATTATTGCTAACATGAAATGAAAGTTGGGTAATGTCATATTTTCGTGTGCATAGTGCGCACTTGAGTATTATAATTGCAATTTTGTGTATAGTGCCCAGTAAAAACAATGTTGTATAGCCTCAGGTGAATAAACAGATAACAAACATTGTAAAACATTGTCAAAGAAGATGTTAAATATGTGACTAAATATCACAAGACATGATGATTTACCATTTCAATTGTATTTCCTGTAATGCTAAGCATTGTTTTATAAGCAGAGATTGAGATTACTGTGTATTTGTCTTGGAAACAAAGCCCGAAAAAACAATCAGCACTCCATAGGTTTTTTCCCAATCTACCGGTGATTCAGTTAAAAAATACCCAATAATATAACTTCAAAGTCACCATTGAGCCTTTCCACAGTATTGCTATTTTGATTGTGAAAATAATATGTTGACATATAATTGCCAAACTACAACAAATATGACTTTCAAAGACTAAGTATGGCAGTTATGATATATGTATCCATTCTGTGACAACTAAGGTTCATTTCAAGGTGTAACTAGCAGTAATATGATCATGGTTGCAGTGAATAATGAGAGCTGGTGCTGTCACGGTTTGTGGTAAAGTGGACCCTATGGAACAGGGTAAACAGAATATGTCAGTGTATCAGAGGGAATGAGGTGACCATCTGTTTCACACACAATTTCGTCAAAATTAATGTAAACAATTATTACTGAATGAAATTGTGACTAAAATAAAAAAATATTACAAACATAAGTCACAAGTGCAGACATACAATGAACACCTTTATATTACCATATTGTGTAACCAAAGTATAAACTAGTGGAATTTAGTATGGATTTGTTGATGTGCTATTGCTGATGACATGAAGATGTGTGTGGTAAAATAATAAAATTGATGGGAGTTATTGACTAACCTGCTTTTAAACCGAATCAGTGGTAACTTGATAGGTGCTATAGTGAGGGATCACTGTACTTCTTGAATCCAGGATAAACTGGGAACATGAAGCTAACCAGTCTGCCCTCCTCAGACAAGCTGGTTCATTGTTTCCTTACAGATTCTGGAACTTAGGAAGATGAACTAGAAATTCCTTGCTGAGACTTTTAAGGCTATTCTCATACGCATGTTTGTCACATTTTTCCTCAGTACCTGAAAGACACAGAAATAAAAGCCCTTGGTGAGGTCAGTGTTCTTCAGTTCCAAAATAGCTCTCTTGTCCAGTCCTGTCCATATGTTGCATGTTTCACTCTGGCCAGGATACAAGTCCTGACGTTTTTGGAAATTTAACTTGGATCTATCCTTACATCTGAAAGGATTCCTTCCCTCCTCTTGACAGGGTCCCTACAAAAACTGACCACAGGGCTACTCTCCAGGGTGTCTTGTGTTCATAAACTGACCTCAGGGCTACTCTCTCTAGGGTCTCTTGTGTGCATAAACTGACCTCAGGGCTACTCTCCAGGGTGTCTTGTGTGCATAAACTGACCTCAGGGCTACTCTCCAGGGTGTCTTGTGTGCATAAACTGATCAGGGCTGCTCTCTCTAGGGTCTCTTGTGTGCATAAACTGACATCTAGTCCACTCTTTCTAAGGTCTCTTGTGTGCATAAACTGACCTCAGGACCACTCTCTCTAAGGTGTCTTATGTGCATAAACTGACCTCAGGGCCACTCTCTCTCTCTCTCGAGTTTCTTGTGTGCATAAACTGACCTTAGGGCTTCTCTCTAAGGTCTCTTGTGTGCATACACTGACCTCAGGGCCACTCTATCTAGGGTGTCTTTTGTGCATAAACTGACCTCAGGGCTACTCTCTAGGGTGTCTTGTGTGCATAAACTGACCTCAGGGCCACTCTCTCTAGGGTGTCTTTTGTGCATAAACTGACCTCAGGGCCACTCTCTCTAGGGTGTCTTGTGACATAAGCTGACCTCAGGGCCGCTCTATCTAGGGTGTCTTGTGTGCATAAGCTGACCTCAGGGCCACTCTATTTAGGGTGTCTTTTGTGCACAAACTGACCTCAGGGCCACTCTCTCTAGGGTGTCTTGTGTGCATAAGCTGACCTCAGGGCCACTCTCTAGGGTCTTTTGTGTGCATAAGCTGACCTCAGGGCTACTCTCTAGGGTGTCTTGTGTGCATAAGCTGACCTCAGGGCCATTCTATCTAGGGTCTCATGTGTGCATAAGCTGACCTCAGGACTACTCTCTAGGGTCTCTTGTGTGCATAAGCTGACCTCAGGGCTACTCTCTAGGGTGTCTTGTGTGCATAAGCTGACCTCAGGGCTACTCTCTAGGGTGTCTTGTGTGCATAAACTGACCTCTGGGCTACTCTCTAGGGTCTCTTGTGTGCATAAGCTGACATCAGGGCTACTCTCTAGGGTGTCTTGTGTGCATAAGCTGACCTCAGGACTACTCTCTAGGGTCTCTTGTGTGCATAAGCTGACCTCAGGGCTACTCTCTAGGGTCTCTTGTGTGCATAAACTGACCTCAGGGCTACTCTCTAGGGTGTCTTGTGTACATAAACTGACCACAAGGCTACTCTCTAGGGTGTCTTGTGTACATAAACTGACCACAAGGCTACTCTCTAGGGTGTCTTGTGTACATAAACTGACCACAAGGCTACTCTCTGGGGTGTCTTGTGTGCATAAACTGACTTCAGGGCCACTCTCAAGGATGTCTTGTGTGCATAAACTGACCTCAGGGCTACACTCTAGCTGTGAAGATCATGGTAGAAAACTAGACCTATACTGTGGTGTCTTGTTGAACTTCCTCCAGGACCTTATGTAGCTTCTCATTAAAGAAAGATGGTGACAGGATAGATTGAGACAGAACAGACTACTTGGATTGTTCAGACACCACCTTATTCTGGATTCCAAACTTTTGAAGAAAAAAGGCTGTCTTGTATTTTGAGAATGCTACCCAGTAAGCTATGTAAGCTAGTAAGCTAATCAAATCTCATCTACTGAATGCTGCTATATGTCTCATGACGAGGAGGTATGACAAGGAGGTATGACATGGCATCCTCCTGCCACAAACCAATTGATGTACGTACCAATGTCCATGTATTGTCTATTGACTCCAGATCCTTGAACCTGGCCATGGGTATGGTCATCTTGGTGCTGGATGATTTCACCAACTTGCAGTCCACCAAACGAAAAATACATGTGTATCTAATAATCAAACTCAGTATTGTGTGTGAATTATGTGAAAGAAAGAAAAAATCCATAATTAAAATTGTCTTGGAATATGTGTATTGGATTTTTCGTTACTCGTTCAAAACTGAACATACAAACAACCCAAATATATGTCATTTTCAGATTGAACTGAAAGAATCTTGTCGCTAATACTTGTGTAACTAACGTCAATTTCGTATGTATCGTTACTGTTAATTTACCAAAAATGTTGTTGTGCTGCTGTTCTGTCGTAAATATATACACCATAATACAATTTGACTATAAATTCATCAAATGTGTCACATGTACACATGACCACGTGCTTTGCTATTTCTAAGCGCAACCCTAAATAAGCTATGCCCACTGCGACTGAGGCAGATACTCAAACGCAACCAATTTAATTTGTTTATGATAAAGCTACAGAAATTTTTTTTTATTGATTTATATCAAGATATATTGAGCCCTTTCTGGTATCCAAGGTTTGTCATTCAAGTTCACAAAAAGTTTGATGGTCTTTGGTGATCTTGTTTTTGTATGGTTTTAAAAAGTTTTTGCCAACACTCAGTTGTGTTTACATTGTCAGTCACTGTTCAAAACTGAAACACCGCCACCTTGCAGGCTATTTATAGCCAGTGTGGGGCTTTAAAAACATTATCCTATTCCGCTGCCAAGTTTTACAAAGCAATTCATAAATTGAGCCAATGAGAGACTGCCCCCACCTCAGATGTCATTTACACGACACATGATTGCCTGTTTCATTCACAAATTTTAAAACACTATCTGGCATCACTTCCTGTTTGTCCACACCAATCCATAATCTGCTGCTGCGTTTAATATCCGTTTCTTGAAGTCCAAGTATTTGGGATCTCTCTTCTTCTATTAAACTCAGTCCACAAGTAGTTGTAGCTCTGTTTTCGAATCAACAAATTTCTGCAACTTGGGGGGACACCATTCCCTAACCACGATTGCCTGTGCTGTGTCATGCATGGTAGACAAAAGCAGTGTGAACAGACATCTTCGCCTTCATCTGGGTCCACAATGAAATCTAGCTGTGACACTGATCCAAAGTTTCCTTTGCACTTGTAAGGGCCATCTTGTTGATTCGAGTTGACAACCAGAATTGGGACTTTTCTCATAATCGAAATGACCAAAGGCTCCCCTGATCATCTCAAACAACTCTTCTGTCAAATTAAATGTCACACAAAAATATTTTGTTGCTCATATTGAAGACAAGCGAACTTGTAAAGTACTTGACAGTAAACTGTTGTCGAAAGTAGTAATCCAATTCAGATGCGCGCTCAGGGGGTGGTTGCTAGGAGAGAGTGGGAATAGGGGCGAACAAAAAGTTTTAGAAAGTAGAAATCCACAGTGCAATCCCAAAATACCTTTCACAGCATGCTTTCATAAGAGTATTCATGAAAACAATTGTTAATAATAAAAACAAACTAATTTATTAATTCATCCTGAGGTCATAACCCTGATCACATGGGTGGGTGTTTCGAAGGAATTTTGTGATGACGCCGTGGATGAGGCTGTGTTTATAATATTATGGAAATTAACTGACCAGAAGATTGTTTAAGAATTGACATTATGACAGATGCTCGTCATGGATGGAGAAAAAATGCATCTGAGACATTGTTGCTTTGAGCTGTGAGACCAAAATATGTGTTCATGCCGAAGTATTTACAAGAGATGATGATCCGTGTAGCCAGTGACCTGAATAATCTTGATGAAACTAATGTTGAAAACCATGTTCACGCACATGACTGAATTAGTGGGAACAAAATATTTATCTGAAACACGTTTCGAAGTATGTGTGGATGTCCATGTTTTATCTGAGTTCCCGATCTCGATTCCAACGTGAAATAACATAGAGTTTCCGAATCTCATTTCTTCCTGCCGCTTTGGAAAATTGGGTACCGATCTAATTACTACTACCGTTGCACAGTCATAAAAGAACAAGGTCAACTGTATCTTTCTTCAGCTGTTTATTAAAAATTTGTTTCCAAAGCAAAGCGACTCGCATCATAAATTAATCATTCTTGTAAATACCTTACCTCTATTACATCATAGCCATAAATTCCTGTTTATGCTGAGTACCACACTACAAATTTTATTAAATGTTCAACAGACGTCCTCTTCACTGCCAACATATCTAACAGTTGTGAGGGATACTCTTTCCCTCGCAAGAGACGCCACTGCGCATGCGCAAGGCGGGCAACACCTCACTCCTTTCCTGTGTGTCCAGATGACAAGGAAACATTTTGTTTGATACATCTGTACACGTGATTGCTGTTCCACACTTACAAGCCACACTAGATCATCACAAGCTTCACTAAAGACAAGCAGTGGGCAGTTCTACAAGCAGAGAACAAGGGGGTATGAGAAGGCAGAAGTCTCTAGTAAGTAATTAGTTAGAAAAAGTGTTGTGGGATTGAAGACTTCATCCCAAAAACAGACAACGTCTGTTCAGGTTGTGGGCAACATCAAATCACTGGTGACCCTCATCCTAGGTGCATATCATGCAAAAGCATTTGCACACAAAAATTAAGGTGCAGTTATTGCGAACCTATGTTCAAGAAGTTTGGAAAACTTTCTTGGGCATGGCTCAATGACCCTGATTATAAAAAGAATACTAGAGGGTCAGTGGGAGAGATAAAAAGGACATCAAGAATCTCATAGATCCCCTCCCAACCACGCACGTCATAAGGTAGATTGTCAATCACGGACATCGAATCGCAGTGAGCACAGAAACACACACCAGTCCCATCCAGCCACTATGATAGACGAGTTGACTACAAACTTGTGCACATCATGATAAATTTACCAAGCATGCTCCATCCCATACCGTTACACAGTCCAGTTATATGGGCGGGGAAAGCGAAGTTTATGTTACATCACAATCACACAGTTTTAGAACACTGATTCCCGCTCCACTAGCCACAGATCCTATCCCCAGCGCAGCCTGAGAGAGAGGTGCGTTTTTTTCGTTAACACGGTTTCTTCATGCAATTGGGACTCTACTGCAGGGGATAATTACAAACCAAATAATTATTCAATTAAAGTCATCATTGCAGAACTTTATAACCTGATGCCGGCCTTAACCCTTTCGCCCCGACTGCCCGATTTATCGGGCAGCATAAACCATGTCCCAGGACCCGCGACCGTGTTTACAAAATCACTCTTTCAACTTCCTTTCTCGTGTGTAATCTCGTTCTAAATATGGAAACGAGATCTACACGTCATTGACACGTCATTCGATGGAATTTCCCAGTCTTTTTGGCGCGAAAATCGCGAATGTCACCTGTTTTCGCGACAGGTATTTTTCTCGCTTGAATCGTAAATCTAGCGTAATGGCGGCCAACTACGATTCGGATAGCGATCAGATGACTAACAACGACTCTATCGGGAATAATAATGTGTTTGATTTGAATAATTTACGTGAAGGGGAGAGGGAATTTGGTGAAGATTTTGGTGAAGATTTTGACGGTTTCGACGAGGTGTCCCCCCCCCGCCAAGAATGGGAGTGGCAGAGGGACCACAACGGTGGAGACATGAGGGATTTTGAAGAGGCGACCGGACTCAAGAATATATATTGACACAGTGAGTGAAATATCGTGCTATTGATTTTTTCCAACTGTTTTACAATGATTCTGTGTTTGAACAGATTATCAGTGCGACGAATGAGAATGCAGCCTACAGGTGAACGAGCGATCACAACAACAACAACAAAGGTGAATGGCATGACGTATCTCTTTCTTTTTTTTAAAATTTAAGTTTCTGATCGCAATCCGAATTGTAGTTTGCCGGTTTGTCGTATGTCCTTATATTTCGCTCAATTTGAATAAAATTTATTTCCATATTCATGTTTGTTTTCTTGTTTTTTACATCTTAATTTAAATTTTAGTAACTGTAATGATTATTTATTTATTAATTGATGTAATAAAGTACTCATCTAATTTATTATGCAGTTGTAAATAACAGTGTATTGTAAATATGTTATCACAACTTGTATATTTGCAGAACTTGAATTTACGATCTTTCCGTCCTTTTACAATTTTTCCCTCCTTTCAGATCAATCTGTGATATCTTCTCTGTGATGTCATTCTTATAGTAGCTGTGGTTCAATGTTCAGGTAATGTGATAAATTACTATTTAAAAACTTAAAAACTTAATTTTTGTTTCAAATCCTGAAAAAGAACAAAATAAATCAAATATTTGTGTTTTTACCTGTGTTAACGAGTTTACCTGCGTTAACAAGTTTACCTGTGTTAACGAGTTTACCTAAGAGGCTGTAAGTGTATCATAAGTAATATGTGACATCAGTATAGAAAACAAAGTCAGTACCAAGAGTTGTAAACTTGTTTATTTGTTTACAGATGTGCATGAAGAGAATTTACCTGTAACACCTGGGATTACCTGTGCCGTCCAAGATGACAAGACCACTGTGTTATGTTTACCTTGTATCTGTGATTTATTTTTGTGATTTTTAATACAATCTGAGCCAAAATTCATTGTCTGTTTTCATTTTTTCAGTGTTTTCAAGTTTTATTTCACTTGTAAACACCTGTAATTAGAAAATAACAAAGGTTAGAGACAATGACAATAAAGAATATTAAAGTATACTTAATCCTCTTTACAATGGTATATGATAAATGTATATTAAAAGCAAGTTTCTGGTAGAAAAAGTGCATCAAAAATGATAGTGTGATTTTCCAATAATACTGCCAGGGAGGCCAGTGTACAGGCCTTGTCAGTGTCAGGGACTGCAGGGTCTCAAGGGACATAACTCTGGGGCAGCCAGTGATGAAAGAGTTAAAACCAGATAGCAAAGATAACCAGCTACCAAACCGTTGTTAGAACGTGCTGGGTATGAAGAACCTGCCAGTAAAGCTAACGAATTTCATACTCTCCCCTGTTCGCCATACATATATAAAGTCATGAAGAAAATCGAAACATCCTTGAAAGTTTCATCGGCGCATAATATCAGACTTGGTATACCTGCTATTAATAAAAATGCTCACAAGACACACGATGCTCCCTTCGCACAACTGCCTACTACTGATGAAGAATTTTATGACCTTGTTAAGAAACCTAACATCAGGATGCATGTTGACATGGCCAAAATCAGGGACTTCTACAACATCAATAAACAATGATTAACATCAGTTAATTCATTAATTGGGCTGCAGCTAGAATACGTCACGTCATCCCTCCGACCAATCAGAGCGAAGACCTGCCACTAGATACCCCCATGGAGATGATACTACAGCAGGCTGGGTTTATTCACAGCTCATTTGATCAGATGCTGAAGATAAAGGAAGATCTTTAATCAGCACAGGTTTGGATGTCAGCACAGTTCCTGCTCATGAAAAACAATCATCTGCTGCAGCAAGTTTATCATATGACTCCAGAACCCCTAAGAAGATCCATGCTATCACAACTTATCACAACCTATTACAGCTCCACCGATATTCAACGGCAGACTGAAGTCAGTGAAAGAAGTTATTGCATCATCGACTAGTCAGAAGTTTCAAGAATCAACAATCTCATAGGCATCCAAGATCCAGAATCTGCAGATTTCCAGCATCAACAACAGAATCCTAAATCTCGTCATGTGAACTCTGTTTTTTGGGAGCCTCTACATGGAAGGACAGATTGTTTCACCCCAAGAAAAAGAACTCCAAAGATGATCATCCCACTTCACAAAGACGAAGAGGTAGAGGCAGAGGCAGAGGAGGTTTCCGAGGCTGATACGACAGGAAATGACCTAACCAGAGCTCAACAGATTTCTTCAGACCCTGCCGACATTGCCTGCCCATTGGACAACGATTTAGAACTTCAGAATATCAATGCTACAACCACATTGAATCCCGTCAAACTAGCCTGTCTCATAGACATCGATCCATGACTGCCCAAGTTCAGCACTCTCCTACTCAGGGACAGCACTCTCCTACTCAGGGACCAGTCGGAGGTCGCCTTATGCAGTACGCATGCAGACAACTGAGAAGCCATCACAGACAACTCATGGCTGCTCGAAAAAGAAGCTGAAGAATGCCTTAAGACAAGTAGATTGATAAGCCTAGATCTCCAGGACGCTTATCTTCACGTCCCCATCCATCCAAGTCATCGTCGATATCTGCGCTACACAGTCAATGGTCAGAGATACCAGTTCAGGGTACTTCCATTCGGCACATCCATTGCCCCATGGTTATTCACCAGGATCCCGTCATCGGCTTCGCCCATCTAAGCCTCATAAGATTACACGGATATATAGACAACTTCCTATCAGCCGATCAGGACAAGTTGCAGATCAGATTAAATACAGTGTACCTTATTCAGCTACTAACGCACTTAGGTTTCCTGGTTCATCATCAAAATCAGAATTAGTACCCACATAGGACATCACCTACATAATCGCAAGATTTCTACTCAACACGGGCATAGTAGCCCTCCAGAGGACAGATATTCAAGGGTCAAAGACATGATATCAAGCGCACTCGACCAGCCCAACAAATCAAGACGCTGGTGGATGTCTTGCCTATAAGCACGCTCACCTCCATCCAAGATCTGACCTACAGAAGAAGACTGCAGCTATGACCCCTGCAAAACTGGATGAACACCACCAAAATCTTAGAGCTAGAAACACTAATTCAATCCCCGCCAGTTCAAATCTCAGAACTGCATTGGTGGCTAACTCATCAGAATTTCATGCCCTCTACATCAACTCTACACAGACTCGTCAGGAGAGGGTTGGGGTGCTCATGTAGACGATATTACAGTACAGGGAAAATGGTCCACCAAGAAAAGGAGTTCCACATCAACTGCCTAGAAATGAGAGCGATATATCTAGCTCTAGAAGCATGGCTAGATCATCTGCACCACTCGTCAGTAAAGATTGCTACAGACAACTCGACCGTGGCTGCTTACATACAGCACCAGGGGGGCACAAAGTATCAGCCTTTGTTGTAGGAGGCTACACGTTTATTTGCCTTGGTAGACTCAGTGAGTTGCAGGATCGAAGCAAGACACATACCGGGCAAGTTGAATATCCTAGCAGATTACCTTTCCCGGGAAAACAAGATCGTACCCACGGAATGGTCACTACATCCCAAGATATTCAAGTGGACAACCTCCCTATAGGATACTCCAAACCTAGACCTACTCACCACATGTCTCAACAAAAAACTGGGGCAGTCATCCTAGTCAGGCCTAGTAGTTAAAGCATTCGTTCTTCACGCCGAAGACCCGGGTTTGTTTCCCGACATAGGTACAATGTGTGAAGCCGATTTCTGGTGTCCCCCGCCGTGATACTGCTTGAGTATTGCTAAAAGCGGCGTAAAATCAATCTCATTCACTCACTCAACAACAAACTACCAGTCTACGTCAGCCCTGTACCAGACACGCTAGCTCTCCAGGTAGACCCTCTTTCTATGGACTGGGAGGGAATGTTTGCTTACACATTTCCCCCATGGGCTCCTCTAGAAGATTTCAGAATACATCAGGAACTCAGGGTAAGTTGACCTTTGTACTTAGTTTGCTATTGGATAGTAGGCAAGTCAAGTGGCAACACTGAAATCATAGATCAAAGGGATACAAAGTGATATACGGTTTCCACATGATAATCTAGGATGTATGATGTACTACCACCGGAAGTGACGTCATGGGAGACCTCACGTCCGGACTAATGTCAAAATATGTTAAATATCACTATCCTAAAGGGCACAACTGAAATTAAGTCATAAGAAGTGATATGATGTCATATGAGACATATATAAACGCAAACAAGGTCATAGAAATGACAACCAGAAGTGACGTCACAGGTGATGTCATCACCGGAAGTGATGTCATAATATGTTTAAGTATCACATTGATGGCTCAATATATGTATAATATAATACCGTATTTTCTTGAGTATAGTGCGCACTTTTTTTTCCAAAAAACACAGCTGTGTAGAAGGGGGTGCGCATTTTACACAAATTATGAGTTTTGATGTTTTTTCCCCCATGGAAAGACATTACCGTGAGCACGTAACATCGGAAATACCATGTCAACAAATCCATACTGAAGTACGCAAATTATTCATGTAATTACACTGTTTGGCTATAAAAAGTGTTCTTTGTATATCTGGACTTATGTTTGTAACTTATTTCATTAATTTTATTCAAAATTCCTTTTAATATTGTTTAAATTAGTTTCGGCGAAATCGTGTGTGAAGCGATAGGAAGATCGCACAACTCACCGTTATTAACAGCAACCACGGTCAGATTACAGCTATTGACGCCTTGAAACGAACTTTAGTTGCCAGAGAATGGATACATATATCATAAATGCCATACTTTGATTCGTTAAAAGTCATATTTGTTTTTGTTGGACGATTCTATGTCAACACTTAATTCTCGCGATCACGCGATCACGTGCCAGGGAGCCTTGACGGTGACTGGTCAGACTGGTTCCATGTAAAAAATAATACCAGGCAATAGCGATCAGCTGCTTCGCCACGGTTATTATTATTTTAAATATGTTTAGTAAAAGCTGCATCTAAATTAACAAGATATTGGAATATATTATTCCTGATAAAAAAATAGTTTCAGATACAACTTTTGGCGATCCTTGCATTAAAATACTGTAAAGTTATATCATTGGGTGTGTCTTGACCGAATCACCAGTAGATTCCAAGAAAACGTGTGTATAGCTGATTGCTGTGTCCGGCTTAGTTTACGAGAAAATACACAAGGTAATCTTAATCCCTGGATATAAAACAATGCCTAGCTGAACAAAAAATACAATTTAAACAGTAAATCAACCTGTCTGGTGATTTTTTATCTCAAATTTCGAATTTGTACTGACAAAGTTTCTCATCACCCGTTCGTTTGCCGGACTTCGCTGAAGGGGTACTGTGTAATTTTTTTCTGCGCATAATATTCAAATTTCATTTTTTCCAAAATATTGAATCCGCTAGAGGGGGGTGCGCATGATACATGGGTGCGCACTATACTCAAGAAAATACGGTATTAGTATTCATTAATGTCTAGCCTTGAAGTTAGGTTATTAGACATATTCGGTTTTGGTCCCTTTTGTAAACAATTCATGTATTCCCACTTCACATTAGCCAACTATCTAAGGGATACTAGATACCAGATCCCACCGGTCCCTCCGGTGTATATTGGCTCTGATGTAATAATGTAAGGTATTTACAAGAATTATCTGACAATAGTTATCATTGTGTATAATTCTAAGAATACTACCTCTATTACATCAGGAATTAATCCCTCCCACCTCCCCAAATATCTGCATCTAGTTGATGAAGGTTATGGGTTGAAAGAAGTGAGGTGTTGCCCGCCTTGCGCATGAGCATGCGCAGTGGTGTCTCTTGCGAGGGAAAGAGTATCCCTCACAACTGTTAGATATGTTGGCAGTGAAGATGACGTCTGTTGAAAATTTATTAAAATTTGTAGTGTGATTCTCAGCATAAACAGGAATTTATGGCTATGATGTAATAGAGGTAGTATTCTTAGAATAATACACAATGATAACTATTGTTAGATTTATAGACTAGTACCAAGTGTTTTAAATTTTCATAAAATATGCCATAAAATAACTTACACAATTATTGAAAGAAAAATTATTTTTTTTTAAATTTATATTTTATTTTGTCCGCTCACTCTCTTAAATTGTTAGTTGAGGT